TCTAAAGGCAGAAGCTGGGGGTATGTAAATAGATGAGGGCAGACAGGGAGATCAGAGCCTGCACACCACTTAGCAGGATAATAAAGGAAATCATCCTTGATTATCAGTGCTAATTTGGACACTGCCGGTAGCTTGTTATGCGTGTTCTGAGTAGCATTTAATTAATTCAATTGCTTGTTAATGAGGGAAGTGACATGTGGGGAGCAGATGCCACCCAACTGCAGATGGGTTCTGGTCAGCCCTTCACAATAAAATCTTCCTTTTTTTTTTTTTTTTTTTTTTTTTTAATTTATTTTTAAAAACCCCCCTTCCCCCACCCCTGGAACCGGGAAAGGTGTCAAGCGTGGAGGAGCATTGAAAAGGCACAAAACACTGACCTCATCAGGCCAAGAACCGCCAAGAAACCGGAGCTGACAATGCGGACAGAGAGGTCCCGACGCTCCCCCAGGCCCCATTTGCGACGCTGCTGCCTTATGCCAGGAATCCAAGACCAACAGCACCATAGCAGCGGCTCCAGAAGGAGCCAGAGATGAGAGAGGGATGGAGCAGGGCATCCTCACCAGACCCAGGATACGATTCTGGGATCCCGACTACTCTGCTTCCCAGCGCTTGCCCTTTATTTGCGCTGTCTGTAATAAAGGATTAATTATTTCTGCGAAAAAAGACCGAACGGGTGAATTTTTTTTTTTTTTCACGGAAGACATGGTCTAATACTGCTCATCAGTCATCAGTCATACCCCAGAAACCAGCTCAGCCTCGGAACAGCAAGCCAGGACTGTAAAACTCGGCTAAATATGGTGGAGCTGCAGAATGTTTTTCTCGACACCATCGCTCATCAGCGAGCGAGGGATCAACCCGGATCTCACGGCGGGAGGTGAAAGGGCAGTTCCCATCGCTGCCAGCTCCCAGCTCCACACTGCTCAGCCAGCAACTGCATTTCCTTACCCCCTCTGGGGTACCCAGAAACAAACAGGGTGGCTCCTGTGCAAACAAACCTGAGCACAACTGCTGCAGATGCTCCAGCTGAAGAGCAGAGCTTCAAGCTACGCCAGAGCTTCTGCCACCCACCACTTAAAAAATGCAGTTTTGATGGAATTGGGATGTTTGTCCTATTTATGAATACTCTTAAAAAAGATACCAAAATGGTGGAGCCTTTTAAGGTTTGCACTTAAGGTGAGCCCTTCAGGGTAGCTAATGCAGATTATCTGGCACTACTTGAGTAGGACAACAAGAAGCAGGGCAGGGATGGTGCCTGGACATGACCCTGCCCTCCCTCGGCTCGCCCAGCAGCTTCCAGCTGGTGGAGGTGACACATCACCCCAGTGAGACAGAGATGGAGACCTGGGGAGCTCAGACAAAGAGGGTGAGGGAGCAGATAATCATCTCCTGGAGTGGGCAGGAGGACGGTGGCAGCTCGTCCCGTTTGGCAAAGGCCCAGCAACACGATGGCGTGGCAGCCACGTCCGCAAACAGAACCCACGTGGGCAGGAGAAGTAACGTGGAGAAAATGGCAAAAAGGAAGGCAAACACCTGCAGGAGGCCCGGGTGGCACATGGCACAGAGTCCCCAGGTCGGCTTCCCCACCTCTCCATATTCCCGCCGGGATACTCGTGTGCCACACCACTCACTCCATGGCACCGCTGGCACGAGTGTGCTCAAAAACAGTATCAATAGCAATTAGAGGAGAGTCCTGATCTCATCCCCAGCCCCGGTTAATTGTCGCCACATTGATTTACTCTAATTTGACTTCTCACTCCAAATTAAACCCGCGTTATACCGAGGGAGGGACCGCGGGCAAACTCAGCCTTCCTCCCCCCGCCTCACCTCCAAGACAATAAATTTATTATCGAATACACTCGCAAAAAAACTGGTGCTTGTTGCAGGATCCATACTGAGAGATCTTTTCCCTTTTTTTCCCCCCCTTTTTCTTTTTTTTTTTTCTTCCTGCCAGTAATTAAAAGATGCTTTTCTTGACTAATGATGCCCCTGTTTGGAAGTGGGGAAGTCGATACTCCTGCGCCAGCAGTCAGCTCCAATTTGTCACAGGGGGCTCCCGAAGTTTGAGCGGCGGCTCTCAGGGCTCTGGTAATTGCTGGAAACCAATTACCAGCTTTGCAAAGCCTCACCTACTCGTGGACCCACGGACACCCCCCTGTTCAGGGCCAGCTGTGGTCCCCGTTCCCCTTCACGCTCAGGATCCGCCTGTGCGTGGGGTTTTCTGCTGCCTCACCAACTTTTCCTGCTTGCCACTGAGCTCTGCCTTGTCTACTGCTTTATTCCACACTGCTTCCTTGGGGATCCCACCACACCTGTGCTCCCAAAACCTCCCAGGGAGGTTTTGGGAGCACAGGTGTGGTGGGATCCCCAAGGTTGGTGGGATCTCCCAGGTTTTGGGAGCACAGGTGTGCTGTCATGGCCAGGGACACCTTCCACCAGCCCAGGTTGCTCCAAGCCCCGTCCAACCTGGCCTTGGACACTCCCAGGGATCCAGGGGCAGCCACAGCTTCTCTGGGCAAACTGTGCCAGGGCCTCCCCACACTCATAGCCAAGAATTCCTTCCCAATATCCCATCTCTCCCTGCCCTCTGGCAGTGGGAAGCCATTCCCTGTGTCCTGTCCCTCCAGGCCCTTGTCCAAAGTCCCTCCCCAGCTCTCTCGGGAGCCCCCCAGCACCAGCTCTCAGCTTTCTTCCCCTTCAGAAGGGATTTTGCTGATCTTCCATCTTCCCTCATCTCCAAACATCCTCGGTCTCCCTCTATCCCTTCTCCACCAGAACTCCAAATCTCAGCTCCCCAAATTATTTCTTCTCACTTACTTTCCCGCCTCTTCCCCCAGTCCCTCAGCTTCAGTTGCCTCTCTCCCCCCTTCCATCCCCACAAGCAAAAAAAAAAAGAGGGGTTGTTTAACCCCCTTTAAAGTCCATTTTCACTGCTTCCAATGGGATTCCTCCTGCCCAACTCCAAACAGCACACACAACTCCTGCCTGAACAACCTGAACTTATTTTCTCGTCACAGCTTGGGCAGAAGGATTGTGATGCTGGCAGAGACCAAAGTAAAGCACATAAAGCAGGCACACGCTTGGAAAAAAAGCGGAGCTTTGTGGTATTTATGTGAAAAAAAAATCTCATTTCGGTCCCTGCTGCAAACAGCAGAAGGATGGGAGCAGCAAAGGAAGACTGCGATTGCTTTGTGGGAAAATTTTCACATCATCTTAATTCCACTTCCTCTAGCACCTCGTCCATCACACAACTGTGCACGTGGACACAGAGCTGGAAATTCCTATTCATAAAATGAATCTTTTTGTCCCAAAACGTTACAGAGCGGGAAAGAAAGTGCAATGATGTCGGTGACAACCAGAAGCAGCTGAATATAACCACGAAGGTGTACAGAAACAAAGCAGGAGAATTAAAATAAGCCCTGAGCATGAAATGTAAAGAGAACAAAGTTGATTTTCTAGAAGTAAAACTCAATCCCAAACGAATTATTTAATTCAAATGGATGGTTGCTCTTTTTATCACAGTCACACGGAATTTAGGTTTTTCATGATGTTTATTATATGGCTACTAAAATAATGTGATTTTTCTTTTTTTTAATAAAGTACCAGTTGAGTGTAAGCCTTTCCCTTGCAAGTATTTAGAACTGAGGCATCTCTCCAGCTCCCCTCAGCAGTAAGGAGCAACATATATTTGTCAGGTGCAGGAATATGAGAACTCTGGATTACAGTGACGCTAACGACCGAAAGTTCATTTCAATCTACCTGACAAAATCATTATGTTACCTGTCTAATAAAACACACACCTACAGCAAGAATCCCCTTTATGTCTGAACAAACCCTCTCCTTAGGTCTCCCTGAGCGCTCTTACATGCCGTGATTCATCTAAGTAGCCTGATTAATGTAGCGGCTTCATTCTCGAAGACGAACCAAAGGTGGCACCACAAATTCATTTTTCAGGGCTAACGAAATAATGCAACAAGAAACAGTGGACTTGATCACCCACAACACAGCACAAACCTACTCCTGCACCACGGGAGGTGGCCCAGGCTCACCTGTCACTTCACCTGGAAAAGGCAGGATCCCGAGATACACAGCGACAGAAGTCGGGAGAGAATTCCCTCTGGGTTCTCTCGTGTGGAGGAGGCAACACTGGGAGCTGAACCTCCATCCTGGGATGGAGCCCCCCAAGAGCTCCCACTCAGACCCTTCTGAAGCCAACCCCAAAGCCTGGCCCAGCTGTGCAGGCTGGCCCAGCAGGTCTTTTCTCCTGCCTGAACCCCCTGCCAGAGGTCACCCCGCTTCTTCCAAGCCAGTATGTCACAGCCAAAGCATTTTCGAAACACCTTTCTTTGACACCGAGCAGGTAAAATTAAGCACAAAAACCTTTAGGTTCTGGTAGGACAACGGGATCACAGACAGATTTTTCACTGTGTTGGAGCTATGAGATGTAGGTAAAATGCTGTTCTCACAGGAAACACCCCCCCCCAAGCTCATGGTTTCACATATATCACATAAAAAGTAGTAATCAAGTCCACAGTGAGCAGGACTTTGAACATCTGTGAGGAGAACCCAGAGACCTGACAGCCAGGTACAAATTCCCGAGCGAGCTCGAACTTCTGGAGGCAGATTATTAATCACAAAGTGACAGCCCAAGAGCCAGGAACTTCGTGGCCCAGCGAGACAAAGGAACACAGGACAGGATAATTTGGGCCGAGGAAGAGCCAGGCGGGAGGTTTCCATCTCCCACTGTTCTGTGGGTCAGCCACCGAACAAAAACACCGCCGAGCCGCTGAGGAAACCTTCACATGAGAGGGGGACGATGCAACGGGGTCACTCGACTTCTGACACCCCCCAACCTGGGCACCTGCTCTTCCCCGGGGCACGCAGAGAGGATATAAATAATGATTTGTACGAGGAAGGCAGCGATGGGGGGGGGGGGGGTGTTAAAAAATAGCGGCGTCACACGTTCCCCCTCACCCTCCCTGACGGAACCGAGCGAAACCCACCTGGTGGAGTCCGACGAGGGCTTCATGTGGCCTTGGCTGTTCTCCTCCCACACGCTGTTGGCCAGCTCGTTCCCGATGGCCGACATCACCTTGATGAGCTCGATGGGCCAGTCGTCCAGGTCCAGGGAGCGCACGCGGGACAGGTGCGTGCCGAGGTTGCGGTGGATCCCTGAGCATTCGATGCAGATGAGGGCTCCCAGGTTCAGGCTGGCCCAGTCAGGGTCTGCGGGAGGAGGGACACGAGCGGGTTAGGACAGCGAAATGACCAACAGAACTCAAGGTGATGCTTGTGGGTAAAGAGCTTGGCTCTCAGGGGTGGCTTGTCCGAAGTGGAGATCCCAGTGGAGATCCCAGTGGAGATCCCAACCCTTCTGAGAAACCCTCAAGGAGTGGAAAAAAACCACAAAACTAAACAAAAAGCGGGGTGTCTCAGCAGATGTATCGCTCCACCTCCAGTCACAGAAAACTGTGAATTAGAGAGAAAGGGAGAAACAAAGAAAATGTGACTGCAGTGACGGGCAGCGGGTGATGAAGCGGTGGAGAAAGGCCTTCCCCAAGGATCCCGAGCTGCTTGGAGCCAATTACAAGGGGAAAAGGAGAGAAATAATCAAAGCATAAAAACCTCAACAAAAAAAAAAAAAACAAATAAGGAACAACAACAACAAAGTTCTCTCTTGCTAATCCCATAAAAGGCCTCAACACCCACCTCCGGCATCAGCTACATGTGGCTCTTACACCTGGCACACTCTGGGGGGGTGTTTCCACCTCCAAGGTCACCACTAAGATGGAAATGGGACACTTGGGTTTTTAGTGTTCGAGCCAGAAGGATTCCACCCACCCAGAATGACCCCACGAACAGGTAGTGCTGGGACAAACCTGACGCAAAATGGGAAATTCCATTTCCCAGCGTGGTCCAGCTCTTTTGCCAACGCCCTGTGTGATTTTAATCCAGATTTGTAGGAATCACCCTCTCTCCAACAAGCAGCCACTTTCACAAACACAACTGAAGACACACGAGAGGAATGTTTGTTGGTTTTTTTCCTCTCCCCCCACACTGTCAGATCTTCTCTTCATGCCTGTGCATCCCAAAGGACTATCCCAAATGCCAAGCAGGAAAATGGTAATTAACTGAAGAGGGCAGGAAATGCTTATTCTTACCTAAAAAAATAATTTAGAGCTGATAGAAAATGAATTTCCAGCCTTATCTTCCTTTCAGGAATATTTAATCCAAAGACTCATTTTAACTTTGTGCAAACCAAAACTGAAAAAGCTATTTTTGGCAACCAAAATACATGGAAACAAAACATTTTGCAGTTCTCTGCCATGTCACGTTTGACAAGAGATAGGAAGGGAAAGCAGGGAATTTTAATTGAAAAGTTCCACATTTCACTGCGGGACTTTGATTCATTGATTGACATTTTTCAGTCAGCCCACAGAAATCCAAAAACATCTCCAAAAAGAAAAATCCCCCATCTTATTCCCCTTGAGCAGAAAAAACACATCTTTTTTTTTTAAAAGTTTCTGTCCATAACAGGTCTTATACTACAGATAGTATAACATCTGTATTATACAGCGTTCCAGAACTCCAAAAAATAAGGTGAGGCTGAACTCCTGCTTTCCAAGCTTTTGATGTGACAACCAGGATAAAATCCTTCCCTGAACAGTTCTTCAGATCACCTCCAGTGCTGTTTTGCCAATGGGGCAAACAATCTGAAACACACTAAAACCCCACCAAAACAGCAATCTGTTGGTATAAAACTCAAACACAGCAGATAAAAACTTAAAATCTGCAACCTGTGCCTCAGGATGAAATCCCTGACCTACAAGGGTCAGGGTTATCCTCACGAAAATCAGAAGTGCAATGAGCTCTGAGAGGCACGAACTCGGAATGAAGCGAGAGAATAAAATAGCAGTTTATATTATTCCAATTACGCTGACAGAACTGATGTTAAGGACCTGACCTCTCTCCCAAATACCTGTCTGCTTGAAGCATATCCAGTGTATTTTGTACTGAATAAATTCTTTAAACATTCACCTACTTCAGGGCATCACAGAGTGGTTTGGGTTGGAAGGGTCCTTTCCCAGCTGGCAGCACCGCAGGAGTCCCCAAAGCCACAACCAAGAAACGTTGCCCAGGCACTATTTTAAACTTCAGCAATCTGACAACAGTGTGAAGGTGGCAAATGAAGAAAGGCAGGGGTTGAACTTGCTACAGAAGTGAAAATTGTTCTCACTGACTCATACCAAAGAAACCACACATGGTTAACAAGCTCTAGCTATTCAACATGTGTGTTTGTTGGTTTTTTTTTTTTTTTTTTTTTTTTTTTTTTTTTTTTTTTTTTTTTTAAGAAGATGATACAAAACCAGCTCCCTTTTCCTGCTGATGCCAAGAGTAATTCTGAACTGGAGGATGCTCACAATTCTTACACGAGCATAAGGCAGGCTCTGCCTCAGAATGGACATCCAGGTTTGATGGTAAAAGGAAGAAAAAGCCCCCTCAGCGCAGGCAGATGTGCTATAAAGCTGCTGTCCCCTCTTCTACTTATTTACAATTTGTCAATCGAAATATGAGGGTTTTAGCATCACTCAATATATCCAGATAGCGATTTTCAGCTGTCCAAAATATTCTCCAAAATTCTTGGCTCTCTCCTTCCCTGAAAGCCCCTTCCCCACCGTGCCTTGCACCTCAATCAGGTTGATCATTTGCAGGAGAAAGCTCTTTTGGGAGAATGACCCCTCCCACTGCCTCCTTCATCCCTCTGGATCCGAGGAGGCTGGTGAAAGGCTTTGCCATGCTAAATCTGAGTTCAGCAGGTGTCAGATGGGCTGAGCAGAGGGAATCCCTGAAGCGAGGAGCAGATGAGCCAGGGAAAGAAGCAGCAGGGGTGAAGGCATCTCAAGTCACAGCAGAGATAGAAAAGTCTGTGACTTTCCTATTCCTTGAGAGGTTTGTGTTTTTTTTTTTTTTTTCTATTCTGCACATAAAACTGTATCTAGTGATGGGTGGGATAGGATTGCCCAGATTCTTACTTTGGTGTTTGGCTCTCAAATACAAAATACCCCAGAGTAAGTGATGAGACTTCCCAGGCTGGAAAACTCACCATGAGACTGTTTCCAAGCCCTCCCCCTTTTCCTCTACAGCAGCAAAGACCACGTTTTCCAGGCACCTCAAAGCAGTGACTCGTGTTATCCTCTCATCTGTGTAAGACTGGAAGAGGCAAAAATCCAGAATATTTAGCTGGGTTTGCCTAAGCAATTGAATTCCCTTCAGTGGCTTCTCCAGACAGAGAAAGCGCTCTGGGAAAAAGCACCACAAGTTTCCTTCTGAAACAGGAAATCAGATCTTATGCAAAAACCCCAGCACCTAAAGAGCACTTGGCCTCACCTCTTGCTCCAGGATGGGCATGTTTGAAAAATAAGAACTTTGCCCAACTTTAGCTGGAAGCTGCCAAAGGGTTGGGATGCTGGCAGCATGCAGCTGCTGCTGGAATAACATCCAGCAAGGCAGAAATTCCCCGGAGAAACAAAAGTGCTGCATGAAGTGCTAAAAAAAGGCAAAGAGCTCTAGAAAGAGGGAGAATGAGAATTCTGAAGTGGAAGATTGATGGCCCTTGAATTGAGCTGAGGGATGGCAACATCTCATATTCCTTTGCTCCCAAACATCTGGCTCTGTGGAGATGCAAACTACGTACGTGTTCCACGGGAGAGCTGAGGCTTCTGGGGGTGAGGACCTGCCAGGCAGGGCAGGAAGGGAGAAAAGGGAATAAAGCAAGGCCCTGCAGAAAAAGCAGCAGGCTGAGGTTCACCTCCTCTGTGTGTGTGTGTGTGTATGTGTGTGTGTGTGTGAAGTTGTCTGCAGTGAAGGGACTGCACGTTAAGATCTATAAATTATAACCCCCATATGTATATATTTATAAGATATAAATGTATAGGCAACGTATAATTATCAGAAATACTGTTTACAAAATATTTATATTAGAAACATATATATTTATAAAATATATAAATATGAACTATTATGTATCTAGTCAGCAGGGTCTAGGAAAATGCCACCCACAGCTCAACAGCCAGACTGGAGCAGGAATGAGCTCCACTCCCCCTGTGCTCTGCTGACAGGCAGCAGTGAGTACTTCAAATGAGCTAAATAAACATGTAGGTCACTCACAGACCCCACCCCTTCTCCTCCACAGCACCACCACCTCACCTGCCTTCTACCTGCACCACATCAAAGCCCTGGTGGAAATCTCAACGACCACCAGGTCTGTGTGAAAGAACACTGATAAAATAAGAGTGGCTTTGGGGCTGTGGGTGTTAAAACACCAGCCAAACCAACGCTGTCCCTTGTTACCACGTGCTGAGTTACCCCTGAGTGGAACATAAAGACTAAACTGTGCAAAAGCACTTCTTGCACTTGTGTATGAATGTCCATCTTAAACTGGGATGTCAGAATGGCTCAGACCAGTAGTCAAAACCCTAAACAGCAAATTTAAAAAAAACCCCATATATATACATATATATACCCAAATAAATGAATATTTTTCCATTTTAAACACGTGCAAAAATCGCAAGGAAAGTTCTCACTTCCAAATATCAAAGAAATAAAAAATGCACAAGTTCTCAATCCTTCAGCTCCCACAACTAATTGCTTTAGAGCAAGAGAACTTCCTTTTTGTGGCTTTGTTGCAAACCCCTGGAACTAAAGAGCACCAGAATAATGACCTGAGCTGGGGTTAGTGAGGTGAACCACAGCTCAAAGTATTCTCGAGAACACTCTTCTGAACACTAAGTATATGTTTTAGAAAATAAAAAAAAAAAAAAAAAAAAGAGAAAGAAACACAAAGGGGAAGAAAAAAAATAATCTCAAATCAGTTTTCCAGTATCAAGACATAATGAGCAATGACTTTGGTTTCTTCTGACAAGTAACCCTAAAAAGCCAAACCAAAGAAAGACCAATCAAGCTCTGCCTCTTTGAAAGTATTACCATGGCACATGTGCCCTCCAAGGAGGAAAATGGAAGCAACTGATGTCAAAAAGCAAACTTTCTTCCTTATCCTCACAGGAAAGTACAGAAATGCTGACATTTAAAGCGGCACGTGGAACAGCAAGGGGGGGAAAAAACAAGGATGCACCTGATGCAGCCTATATTGGGTATAAATTAACATCAAATAATCTGATTGAGCAAACTCCACAATGAAGAAGGAACGTGCAAACAGCATCTGGGGGATGTAACACCGAAAAGACAGAGCCTCTGGTGAGTGTTCAGACGAGTTTTGGTCAAGGAGAGCCTTGGCCAAGGA